GGTTGTGTGTTTGTGGTTGTGGTTCCTGGTTGTGGTTGAGGTCCGGCAGGGAACATTGGGCGCGGATGGTCTTGGTTGAGGTCCGGCGAGGAACACTGGGCGCGGATGGTCGCGGTTGAGGTCCGGCAGGGAACACTGGGCGTGGAAGGTCGTAGTTGAGGTCCGGCAGGGATGGTCGTGGTTGAGGTCCGGCAGGGAACACTGGGCGCGGATGGTCGTGGTTGAGGTTCGGCGGGGAAAACTGGGCGCGGATGGTCGTGGTCGAGGTCCGGCAGGGAACACTGGGCGTGGAAGGTCGTGGTTGATGGTTGAGGTCGGCAGGGAGCACTGGGCGTGGATGGTAGTGGTCGAGGTCCGGCAGGGAACACTGGGCGTGGATGGTCGTGGTTGAGGTCCGGCAGGGAACACTGGGCGTGGATGGTCGTGGTTGAGGTCCAGCAGGGAACACTGGGTGGGATGGTCGTGGTTGAGGTGCGGCGTAGGAGGACGAGGAGGAGAAGAAAGAGGCGGAGGAGGAGATGGGGCTGACCTAAAATCTAACAACCCTCGCCTGACAAGAGAGAACCACTGAAGAGAAATCTCTTGACAAAGCTGCCACGCCTGAGAACCAAGCATGAGTCAGCTTGGGCTCCAAGCCTAAATGTTCCACATTTGGGCTCCAAGCCTAAATGTTCCACAAGGTGCCTAACAGGTAGTCTCCCGAAAGTATTAAAAACTTTTACAAGATGAATCAAACACTGCACCAACCACAGGTTGGGAGTTGGTCCACGCATCATCAACGAACTCAATGGCCTAAACCACATTAAAGTAGTTGCATCATGTTGCATCAGAGTAAATTGCACTAGGCAAGACCGTCCGAACCTGGAATTTACTGTAGCACATTTCAACATGACATGAGATTTCACGCAGCCCAAAACACGATAAAGAAGCCCACTACGGTCTGAGGTCAGACCACGCGGGCATTCTTTCATCTGTGGCCAGACAAACAACAAACGCCTGCAAGAGTTCACGGGGCCACAAACCATCCGTTTCAATAGGACCAAGGTTCCGGAATAGGACCAACTATCAACTCCTTTTATTGTGCACGGGTTGAAATCTTATGACTGAATGGCATACCTCCAATCTTCCAAACAGAGTGGCGGAAGCTTAGCAGAGAACACTTGGCAAGTCAATAGCCTCAGTCCAATTGTATCGTGAGAAGGATCGCGGTTCCAATAAACAGACCAACCACGAAACATTTCATCGGACATCTCAGTCCCATCGAGCAAAACACAAGTTTTCACTGCTTTACGAGCAGCTCGAAAGGACATCGGCCCATCTAAGAACAAAACATTCCCTTAACTAGATCATTTCAATGCTCCAGCAACCTTCATCACATTGCAAACGATCTCCGCAAACAATTCGGAAACGTTTTCAACAAGTAATCTGGCCGTGGGACTGCCCCAACGAAATCTATGCAATCGCAATTTGGTGCTAATGCTGATGCAGGTCACATCAGGCAAAGGTTCTTCCTTAACAGCTTTGAATGCAGCACGACCACCTTTAAACTGACCAGATTCCTCAAGAAAAACATTAAACACTTGCCTCTCCTGATGGGAAACATACGTGGTCAAAACTTTCAAGTGACTTTCAAGATGAGGAACAAACTCCTCAAGATTGTCAATGTTCGGCAAAACCACAACTGAGAAGCGCAAGTCAGTGTTTGCCGTTACCCGGTACCCAATCACAAAAAGTAGTTGTAAGCCCAGCAGCGGGGCAAATGGCGTGCCAACACTCACAACTCTGAACAAAGGAAATACCTGTCTTCATGGAACAAAAAAGGTGTTTGACAAGAAGCATGCTCCAGTGAATATCAACATTGCCCAGCCGGCCGTGCCGAATACATGGCTCGCAGACAAAGTGTTTTTTTGGAGAAATTGCATGGCATCTACATTGTACATAAGATACCCTCTTCATCTCGGGCAGAACGATGTAAAACATTTTCAGCAGCAATACTCCAAAGACGAAAGGCGTGCAAAATCTAGTTTTGGCCAACTAAACCTTGAATTTGACCTGCAAGACCATATGACACACTCTCAGAAGGTTCCTCAATGGAAACATCAACCTAAAACCATCAAAACAACGTGAATGCGGCCAAACAAACTTGCAAAACCCTGCGTGCGGGATACGAAAACGCTCAGTAAGAGTAGGATGTGAATCAAAATCAAAGGTTTCCACAACCTTCACACCACGAGCCAACAAAGGCCAAGAACGAACGACCCCCGAGCGGCACCTCTACAAGCAGGCTCCACATACATAGCCAAATCTCTCAAAACTCAGCTTAGCAAGATCGCACCATCCTTTCCGAAAAAGAACGCTAGAGGACTCAAGATGTTCGAATTTAATATTGAAATCACCTACAGTGAGCGTCGGTAAGACAACACGCCCTTATGAGCTTCATTGAATACAGCATTGGCCGCGTCTGACTTAAGGTTCAAAACATCGTCTTGCGACTTCGCAGGCAAAAAAGCAACGATGATATGGAGACGGCATGAGGCATTCACACTAACAACAACTTCAAGAACTCGACCATACTCCCAAACTGTCCGATCAATATCGTTGAAAAGCTTATGACATTTAAAGGTATTTAAGGAGGAAATCACTGCACAGCCAGCGTTGCTCCCTCTCCATGATTCACACAGACCCCTAGTCTTGCCACATGCATCAGAAAATTGGCAATGCTTCTGCAACTTTCCACACTCCTTCATGATGGAGTACCTAGCTTGCCTTATACCCGGCCCAAACTCAGCAACTGGGGCCACTTTGCCATACAAGTCTGTGGGATTATATTAATAAAATGAACCTTTACTGCCTTTACTGTACAAATGAGGTGCTGGATTAGAGGCCTTGCCAACCCTGTGGAAGGGAAGAACCCACAAAGACAGGGACGGCGCAAAAGAGGTCCAACAAATGCGATGACAAAGCAAAAGTGGATCAAAAACCTGCAGCCGAACAAGCACCGCACGAAATCGGTATGCATCAGACTTTGATCTCAAGAAATGAAAATTGCCACTAAAGAACATTCAGGGACACGCTGCAAAGTAAACATCACGAAAACGCAAATCTGATTTCTCACCTCAGCGTTCACCTCGAGGTGAAATTCCCGGCAAAACACATTCGAATGCCAGGAGCAAGGACGCTACTACGGCGTCCTGGCATCGCTACTAGGAGCAAGGACGCTACTAGGGCCCAACCATCCAGCACATCAACACGACAAAGGATGGCAAGCCAAATTGGGAGGGCAAGACACTGCGAGTTGCACCCGTTTTTGTACGAGGTGGACACCACTGGCCAACAAGTGTGCAGCACAAGATGCAAACAACATGTCACATGCTCGGCTGCCGAATGGAAGAACCATCATCGAGCTTATGTTTCTCGCTCAAGCTTTCAACGAAGAGCCTTCTGATCTCATCCAAAGTTGCTTCACTATTTTTTTCCAATGCCTTTCTTTGCTTTGCCTGCTAGGACTCAGCTTGCCGGAAGTAGTCATCAAGCTGCTTGGTGACACTTTGTGTCTGGCTCCTCAAGACACCATCAAGGTCTGCCATTCCGGACTGAAAGGACTGGATCGCCTCTTCTTGTTGCTTTTGCAGCCCTTGGATGTGACTGATTCTCCTGAACTTGACGTTGCAAATTCAAAGCGACCTGTGCTTGCGATTTCCCAAACTGATCCAAACGCTGCGTCAAGGCAATCTGCGACTGCTCCAGTGCTTCCAAAGGCTTGATTCAATTCAGCTTTCATGGACTCCTTCACATGGTCATTCATGGCCTTCTGCAGGGCCACAACAGGGTCAGAACACTTGCAGAAACCACATCAAAAGAACGCGAGGAGCCCTGCACGGCAAGCTTTTTTGTCGACCGAGGCAAGAATTGTCCGGTCAAATTGGAAATCAGATTTGAGACAATGTCATCACCATCAATGGGTACAAGCACGGAAACCATTCGCTTTCAGAATGTACACTTTCCACTTCATGGCCCAAAGAGCTTGCCGTAAGCCCTGCTTGGAAGTACCTTGTGGCACGTTCATGACTGTGTAACGAGCTACACCACCCAGACCATTGAGGTCCTCATCGGCAAAGATTCATCAGGGAACGGCCGTTTCTTCACATCACGGTTTTTCTCTCTCGGCACACGAATTCCCAAGCTACCATTGATTCATTCGCACCACACCGACATTCCCTCACACTCGCAGAAAATGTAGTCTGAATCTCGTGAAGAGATCTCAGACCTGTGTCGACAATCCTATATCTGTGACCCCCTTCACTACCTTTGCTCATCATAAAGAGACCCTTCTGACCTGACAATTTCAAAACCTGTCAAGAAGATCATCCGAAGCCCGGCACACAAAGTGTGCATGCTTTGCAAAGGAAAGCTTGTGGGAATCCAAAGGCCCAAGTCTCAATCGGGATTTTGGCACTGGCTCCACTGCCATTCCTCAATTCAAATTCAGGAGCATTATCACTATCTTGCTATATTTCATTATCCTCTCTCACCACCTGCACTATCACAACAGTGCTGCTAGGAGGACCTGAGAGTTTGACTGCAATGGCAACTGAAAAGGCAAGGTCAGCATCTCCACACTGCACCAGTGTGGCTGCTTGCACTGCCGCTGGACGACCGTCGACAAACGCAGGAACTGTCGAGTCAAGACCTTAGCCACAGAAGGTAGTGGCTCATCCAACTTGCCAATGACAAGGAGGCCAAGCTCATCGGTAGAAAGCTTGTTGGCAGTAACTTGCACAAGCAATTCGGAAAGCCTGGGGTCTTCCTTCTTCAACGTGCTATTCTGCCCAAAGTCTTCAAAACGAAGGGCTCGGTGGTGAGCCATCAGCGCAACTGACAAAGGAGTAGTCAACTGCGATCTGCGATTCTCTGTGCTTGCCTTTTCCAGATCCCTTTTACCGATCACGTGCTTCCTGCCACCAATCCACAGACCCTTCAAGTTGGCCGCTGAACCATTCCGCTCATCTTGCTGAATCAAAGTGATTCCCAAGTCATTGGCAAAGCCTTTGAGAGCAATCCAGCCATCTTTCTCACCGATGCACTTTCAGATTCACAAAGCCGACCTTCTGGATGATGAACATGGTGCGATCAGGAACGCGACCTTCTGGCACACCCTTTGCAGTCAACGTATTGGCCAACCACTGTTTCACATCAGCATCACGACCACCTCCTGTGAGGCCAATCTGGTGAACGCACAAAACATGATTCCAGAGGAATGAATTGGCACATGTTCATCAGGCACCTGATTTTTGCAGCGAATCACGAAATAACCACAAGGCCACTAATTTCTCGTGCTGCGCAAAAAGATGCGCTTGGCGAAAGCACAAAAGCGGATGCACATTGTAGATACCAACTGGCTCAACTACGGCTTTACACGGTAATTTGGGGAAAGAAAGAGAACAGAGGGATGGAGAAACGTAGGAATGAAGGAGCGAAGGGAAACGAAAGAAAGCTGAGGAACGCGCAAGAGAAGGAGAACGTGATGTGATTGGCGGAGTATCGTCATTTTATGGGTAGAGCGGCCAGCTTGTTTGATTGCAGAGACCAGGACATGATGCAGGAATTTGTCGCGCGAGCCACCTTGCCGTTGGCAACGGCCTTATGCCTTTCCCATACTTGAAGTATCTCGCAGTGCTTAATGCGCAATTTGCTGTGAGCTGAGGTGACTGCTTTGCCCCATGGGCTGCTGGGTTTCAAGGGCCTTGAAGGTGGTGGTGCCGCGCTAGTCTTGTGCGCTGCTGCGCAGAGTCGGGGCTTCCTTGAGGCTTCGGCACTCCGATGCCCTTTTCATTGAAAGGTGGGTTACCGGACAACCCAATTCACTGAAAACCGATAGGGGCCAACCAGCTAAAAGCATGGATTTTTCCCTCACCCACTGCTTTTCAATTTTGAGCTCCAAAATACCCATATCTTACAGACATTGGAGCTGTGCTTTGTCCTCAGATTTCTCATTCGCTCTGTCAATGCGGTTGTCAGGTGGCGACGATATACCATCAAACATTGAAAGCATTCCACGCCTCTACCTGCCCTGAACTTGGCCCAGGCGGGCTGGGCCTTTTGCCCAAACCATCTCTTTCCGCAGACTTGGTTCCGAGGTGATCACATCCTGAGCTATTCTCCTCCATCACTTCAGTGGACCGCGGTGCCTGGTCGAGCCAAAGCCGCTGTAGCCTTTGCTGGCTCTCAGGCTGGAGCATTGTGAAGAGACTTGCAGCCAGCCGTCTCATTCGGGCGTGGGTCAAAGCCAAACCTGACATCAAACCACAACCTTCTATGCCATTGCGCCTGCAAAGCGTGTTCCTATATACGCGTTCGCACCGATACACCGAAAATTACACCGATGCACCGATACACCAAGGGTTAGGGTTTAGGGTAACCGTCGCAGTGGTGTAGAACGTAATGCGCCCAACACCAAACAGCGTAACGGCGTGATCACACTTAAGAACACAGTTTGCAAGTATGCTCTTCTGGGTTTGTTTCATAATGTCAACGTAGGATCAGAACCCAGACTAAATCTCTTCATGAGGAGGGGTACCCCAGACTTATTGAATGCAGTTGACGAAGTTGACAAAGAACTTATTCAATCGAAACGTATTTGTTTCAGTTTAGTGAAACAAACTTGATTCAATTCGAAGATGTTTCATTGCGTTCCTCGGAAGCTCGTATTCGGAATTTGTTCATGACACGTAGTCTCTGTTCAAGGGAGAGGTGGGTGGGACCTCTTTTAGTTTGCGCGTGTTGCTTTTGGGCAGTGGGGGAGCCATGGACGAACCTGGACTTTCTGCTTTTGAAGCCCTAACTGCCGTTGTTGTTGAAGAAGCACCTCATGGAACAGACCACGAAGCTGGCAATTCATCTGGTGAGTGCAAGCCACAAGAAGAGCCAATGTTGACAGCCGACGATGCTCTACATGAAGCGAACTTTGAAGTTGGCGGCTTGCCTGGCGATGGGCAGGCACGTGGACGACAGGTGCTGGACAAAAGTCCGATCTTCACTGAGAAGGAGCGCGCAAACTTTGAGAGGACAATCTTTGAGCAGAGCTTGACATCGATTGGCGCAGGGATGCCTGCCTTGCCGTGGGAGCAGGGCATCTTCAAGGAGATTTTTGGAGAAGCAAAGTCGGACAACTTGCCCATGCTCGAGGACCTAGTCGCTTATCCAGCTGGAGCGGCCCCTGGATCGTCAGATGACGCAAGACTGAAAGTTGAGGTCACAGGTGTCACATCTTCTTTGCCTGGGGACATGCCGCTATATGCAAAGCATATCAAAGCGCTGTGTGACAGAGATTATGCAGCAACGTTAGATCTCACCTGGACTAAAGCTTTGGCAAGTTGGTTGATTGTTCTCGAGGACTGCAACTTCGAATCATCAGTTGGTCACTACGTTCAGGAGAAGTTGCAGGCCCTGGACAGGGATGGTGCCTTGCTGTGCATCAGAGATGCGTGCGGGGTGCGTTCACCCTCCACCGTGTTGAAGAGGGCTCGAGACTTGATCTTTTTCGTGAAGTGGTGCGAAAAGAATGACCTGCGGTGGTGGCCCATCAAGGAGCGGAACCTCCTCGACTACCTGCAGGGCAAGGAAGACGAGAAGCGAAGCAAGTTCATCGGCAAGAACCTCATCCATGCCTTAAAGTTCTTCAAGTACATCATTGGAGCAGAGTTCAACATCGAAGCTGTGCTGGGTCCAATGCTGACCGGGAAAGTGAGCAGAGTTCTGGCGACCAGAGACCCGACTGAACAAGCTAGGGCATTGACAGTGGCAGAGGTGTTGAGGCTTGAGGTCATGTTGGACACAGTCAAGAACAAGTATGACAAGTACTTCATCGGGTGCATCCTCTATGCCATCTACTCTCGTTCGAGATGGAGCGACATGGCCAACATCCACCACTTCTTCTTCGATGTGATAGACACAAGTGATGGCCCTTTTGGATTCGTGGAAGCCAGAACCAGAATCCACAAAACTTCGACCACTGCAGAAAGGAAAGCTATGTACATGCCGTATGTGGCCTCGGTGAATGGCATAGGCAGCGGCAGTTGGGGCCTTAAGTGGAAAGTCGTTCTGGAGGAACTTGGGCTGCTTGAGCTGGGACCGCCTCATGGACCAATCTGCAGAGCTCCTACGGTTGACGGTGGCTTCACCAAAAGGCCCGTGTCAACTAGTGAGGGGACGAACATGATCAATGCGTACCTGGGATACAGAGATGGTGACCAAGCCGCCACAACCACTCACTCCTTGAAGAGCACCCTGCTGGTTTGGGCAGCGCGATACGGCTTGAGCGAGCCAGTACGCGGTTTGTTGGGGCACCATTCTTTGAAAGAGAATAGTGTGGCATGCTACAGTCGGGACATGTTGAGCCAGCCCATGCGTGAGCTTTGCGCCATGATCTACAACATCAAGCTTGGGAACTTCGTACCAGACGGGACACGCTCTGGGTGGATGGTACGCAAACAGGCACCGTTGTTCGAGCCACATGCACCTGGTGACGATGAGGCAGATTACTTTGGGAGTCCGTCGGTTCTGGAGGGTGAAAAAGATGTTTCTGCCGACACCGGCTTTGACCCGAACAACCCCTTCGGAGAGCCCGAACGATCTGGCAACGCTGAAGAGCACATCGAAGAGCCAGAAGAAGGTGCTCGAGATGATGGAGACGAAGATGGCGAAGACTTCGTGGAGCGCGCCAGTGAGAGTGAAGATTCGAGCGCAAGTTCCGACAACGAAGAAGAGCTGCACAAAGAGAAGGCCAGCGTCATCGAGAGCGGCTTGGAGCCAGAGGTAAAAGGGCCTTTGATGCAGAACAAGAGGAGCCGCATGCTGCACACGCAGAACCCTGACCCGAAGAACCTTTTGCAGCCTGTTACGTCATGTGGACTCCATGGCATCGGTTTCACCGTCTTGGCTGAGGGGTCGATCTTTAGCTGGCCCAAATGTAGCAAGTGTTTCAAAGATGCTGACAACAAGTCGGTGATAGATGTAGTCAACGCCAGCAAGCGTCGGCGTATCTGAAGGCAGCAGGCCTTACCTAAGAAAGCGACTCAAAATGTAGAGAGTTGAGCTAGGGGTGAATGAACTTGCATCAGTGGAGCGTTTTGCTGATTGCCGCCGCATTCGACGTGAGGTCACTAGAACGGCAAGCATGACGTTTGTTTGGGTGACATGAGGTCCTGTTTCTTTGACAAGAGGTCGCAGTGTTTCTCTTTGTTAGACGTAGCTTAGGCCACGAGGGCAAATACTCTTGAGGAGCCACGTTCGGTTCGATTCGCGCCATGAGGGCCCCTGAGTTGTCTCGATTCCTTCTTTGATGATCGTGGCCATGAGGGCTCAGCAACGATCCTGCCTTGAGGGCTCTGTGATTTCAAGGAGTCGTGAATTCATTGACATGTTCTAGGAACGCTTCATGTGTTTTCATGTGCTACACAATTTGTTTTCTTGAAACTCGCACGCCTTTCCTCGATCATGGCGGCAGCTACCAACCTCACGGAGAGCACTGCAGCGTTTGAAAAGCAGGCTGCGAACCTGGGGCTGGAAGATGGTTGGGTTCAAGCTTTGAAGAATGCCGGGGTCACAACATTGGGGCGGTTGGCCTTCAGTTGTGGACAGCCTGGGACGCCAGTCACCGAACAAGACGTTCGCAACCTGATGACAGCAAGTGACCCTGGTGGCAGGATTACGGTTGGAGACCTTGCAACAATGAGAAGGTTGATCTTCGAAGCACAAACTGCCGTAGTTGCCTTGGCCAGATCTCAAGCAGACCCGAATGCTGATCCAACCTTGAGGAAGATGCCACCGGCAGAACGGAGCTCACGCATCGCCAATCAACGTATGAGGCTCCAAGGATTGTCAATGGAAGGGAACATGGAGGTGGCTCACCAGGTCTACGACCAGCTGAATGGAATGATGGAGGCTGACACCTTGAAGTACCTAGCACCGGCGAAGTGCATCACACGGATGCAAGAGATCACTTCAGCAAAGCCACCCAAAGAGTTGAAGCTGGACACCAGTGGCACTGGAATTACGGTCAAAGACTCAATTACAGAGCAGCAGTGCTCAACTGGCACAGAACTGGACCTGTTGGAGGCCATGACGCGCCGGAGCCTTGCCTTTGATGCAATGGGTTTGGTCGACTTTCACATCTTCCAAAAATGGATTCAATACCTCTTCAACTTGATGCGTCAGCCTCCGCCGCCAAACTTCAAGGCACCCACGTTGACACAGTTGCTCTGGGCAGACCGTCAAGCATTTGTTCGGCTCCAGGAGTTGAGCCGTGACGGCATCAAACCCCACGCAGATGGGACGCGGCCTTTGGACGCCTTGATCGACAACCTCCCCAAGGACCACACAGTCGTGTACTACATGTTGCCCACAGCCCAGGAGAAGACGCACCCAAAGCCTGCAAAGCCGGCAACGCAGAAAACAGAAACTGCGTCATGGAAGAATTGGAGCAACGAAAAGAGTTCTTCATGGAAGAGTGCAAAGCAGACACAATGGAAGAAGGGCAGCGGCAAAACTGGTGGATCCGGGAAGCTGCCCTACCAGTTGAAGAATTGTGCCTCGGCCACGCCAAAAGGCAAACGGTTGTGCTTCGCCTACAACATCGATGGTTGTGACAAGGCAGCAGCAGGTGACTCGTGCGAAAAGGGCGTGCACGTGTGTGCCACGAAGGGGTGCTTTGGCAACCACCCCCACTACTCGTGCCCCAAGAAGTGACAGAAGGGGTGGGCTGGGGACGAGCCCAAGCATGATGTCGTCCCGAGAATTCAATGCAAAGCTTCTCCTGCTGACGAAGATCAACAAGGAGCACAGATCTCATCCTCCGCTGCAGATGTCTGTCAAAGCAGTTTCGAAAGCAGAGGATCAGCAGAGTTTCACAAAGAAGAACATGATGGCAGCCACCACCAGACAGTTCCTATACAAGGTGGCGAGATACAAGAGACCAGGCCGTTCTGCATCGAATTTTGCTCCGGTACAGGTGGCCTAACGGCCCAACTGCGAGCGCTTGGCTTGACCTCCAGCTATGGAGTCGATCGAGTCGTGAAACCAAGATCCAAGTGTCCCATCGTCAAGGTTGACCTCACAACTCCACATGGCGAAGCACTTGCCAAGAGCTGGTTGTCGAATCCACTCTGTGCTTACGCGCACTGGGGCATCCCTTGCGGTACTGCATCTCGGGCTCGCGAGATCGACCTCAAC